CCTCATTACCCCGCACTGGGCGACAGCTCGACAAATCGATTCAGGGATAGCTGCAAGGTTCAGTGGCCGTTGCAGCGTTGCAGTCTATAATCTTCTTGCCAGCATGGGCTGAGAATATGCAGTCAGATGCCATAATGATAGTCCACATGTAGCTGTGCAACCAACAGTCACATTTTTAATGGGGCGCAACGTAACTATTTCACTCATACAAGAAGAGAGGAGGGATAAGACAGATATCGCTGTGCCGCGATCCTGCCAGGAATGTTTCAAGGTTAGAGGGTTATACTTTGCCCCGCTGAAAGGCTTAACATAAATACCAACAGCAGTAAAATAGTGGGTAGGAAAGTCAGAAATTCATAAACCTTACAGTTTTGAAGGTCTTGTATGTAGTTATAAAGGCTATCCTATACCCTAGTATATCAGTAACATCCTAGCTACTAGCTCTTCAATTTCCCTGTAACAGTCCAACTCTTTCTGGTAGGTCACTATAACCAGACAAGGGCCTGTTGAGTTAGTATAGGGACCAATCTTTTCATTAAACACCATGCCAGAATATAATTCTTACTCACCTCCAATGTGGGGATGCACAGAGAGTTACTTAATAGCACTTATGTCGGCCATTATAGGCACCAACGGGAATGCACTCATGCTTTCCAGAATATGGCCAGCCTTTGTCGTTCTTTGGGTAGTAGTCCGGGCAGACACAGTTGACATGGCCAAACTTGTTTTCGCACTTGATAGCACAGCGTTGTTGCTGGCCAACTGGGTTGCCATCGACGAAGTAGCATTGTCCAAACAGCTCTCTAGCACATGTGAAGGCTTCAGCGGCCGTCACAATGGCACCGACAATGAAGAGCTTTGAGATGTGCATGCTGTGTAGATAGATAGCTGAAGGGTAGATAGAAAATAAATGCTTACTTAAAGATAAGCAAGAGAATAGTGTATTGAAGTTAAGTGTGTTTGCTAGACTTGAGTTGGTTGAAAGGGGGCCTTTTATAACTCTCGTCCCATTAGGACGGCTCAACCATCAGAAGAGTATACGTATTATATATTACGGCCCCCAAATCTGTTCCGTGCCAAGTACCCCTTAGCGTAAGACAAAAGCTGAAAAGGATCTATCTTAAGACACATTACGCAAGCCAAGCCTACAGAACGTACTTAAGATTCTCTTAACTATCTTTCTTAACAAGCTCACCATATAACTTGTTATTATATAGACTCAAGTAGACATTGCATTTTATATTTCCAATTAGCCAGTACTAGTTAAGAATAGTTAAGACTCCTTATTAGCTAAGTTAGGAGTCTTCTACAAACTATAATCTTACTACTGTATGTACTTACCCTAATGATCTAATATATTATACGAGGCGGATAGTGCAGCTCATACTGCCATGGAGGGATCGGCAGGTGCCAAGCCCGGGATATCAGCACTTGTGCAGATCCTCCATCTAAGAGATCGGCAGGGAGACTAGATAAATTCAATCTGCCGTCTTCGGACAAATACACGGCTCTTGATGGGTTTGGCTTGCATAAAAATTCGCTGGCTATCCACCGATTTGGGGTCCGTGTTTCATTTCACCTCCTAGTCTGCCTTGTCTGCCTCCTATCTGCCGATCAATTTGAAGATCCCATGTACGAGGAGCGGGTGATTATACTCGTTAGGTAACAGTCATGCAGGAGCCAGATAGAATGACGACAACGGAAAACAATACCCAGAGCAAACGATGCACAAAGGGGGCTAACGCCATGTACTATTACACAGCGAGTATCTCACAAAAGTACATTCGTAAACTACAACCTAGGGCGCTCCTGGGTATCCCGAGCCAACTCCTCAGCCATTGCCAAGGCAATGTGTTCGGAGATCGCCATGGTTGTGATCATAGGATTGACACCGCTCGCGCTTGGAAAGACACTCGCATCCGCAACAACCAGGTTCTCACAGCCCCAGACCTTTCCAAACTCGTCCACAACACCGTCAGATTCCTTGGTGCTCATTCGGCACGTGCCCATCTGGTGAGCGGATCCATAAGGCGTATCTGGTGTCTTGTTCCCATGAGCTTCCATCTTCTTCAGCCATTGTGAAAATTTCGCATCTGTGACTCCTGAAGAGCTATCGGCACCATTTTTCAGACTCTCTGGCTCACGCATAAATGGCTCAAGACCAGGAAGGATGGGATGGATCTCCAAGGCACCTTGTACATAGAGAATCTTTGCCAAGCCAAGCATGCCCTTCATGTTGTTGCTGGCATCGAACTTGGAGGGAGTGTAGACCAGTCGAGGTGTGCCATTTATAGGATCTGCCGTGACGTGGCCGCTGTCACGATCTCGAGTGATAGCGATGTATGCTTCCATGTGCCTGTACTTCGATATTGTGGCTTTGTAGTCAGCTCCTGATGTCCAATTGCACCATGTAAGACACATAGAAGGCTATCAATGTCAGTTTTACTTCGAATATTGGTTATTGGACAGGCTTACCAGCATTGCAGGGCGCTCGAGTCTCACGCCATGGCCATGTCCGTCGACATTATCGAAGCTGGAAACCACGGAGGTGAGAATTCCGCCTATAATATGTCAGTACGGGACGCTATAGTATGACAGTCTTGAAAACGGCGATATACCTTCCCATGGTCGTGTCTCCTGTTCGAAGATTGCTGACACGAATGACGTTGGGTGTAGATGGAGATTGCGTCCAATATGCTTGTTCTATACTGATGTATTAGCAAACTCTATGCCGTGTTCATGGTACTGAATTCAGGTCGTACCTTGAGTCCACTATTCTTCAAGATGATAGGACTGCACAGACTCCCAGCTGAAATCACGACTCTCTTGGCGTTGATCGTTACCGTTCTAGCTGACGTATCCGAGACGTCTCTTGGTCTCCAGGTTCCAGTCACACCAAAGGCGACATTCTTACCACCACGCTTCTTAAAAAGGACCCTGTTGACGCAAAAGCCAGATATGAATTTGGCCCCGCACCTGGCGGCATCTGGTAGCCAACCATTGACAGGCCCATTCTTCTGGCCCTTCCAACAACCCATGGAACAATATCCATCCAGATGCTCGCTATGGCCTGTGTTCTGGGGCACCTGCTTAGCACTGTACCCGAGTCTACGGCCACCCTCCAGCAAAACGTTATTTCCGTGGTTATGATTGATCGGCTCATTGCTAACGCCCATACGCTCACAGACCGAGTCGAGATGTTCTTGGAACTTGGCTGATTTGAAGAAGCTGAGACCTCTTTGGTCTGCCCACTCATCACGGACTGTGTTCTGAGGCTGTAAGCACGCGCTCCAGTTGACCGTTCCGCCTCCGCCAAAGCATGACCCTGCAAGTGTAGAGATAGACCCGTCTTCAGAGGATACTAGACCTCCCCCCTCGAAAAGGTGGAAGTATCCTGCGCTTTGGTCGAGGGGCAGCGATGAGGTTTCAAAATGTTGTCCTTTATCCACCACCAAAACGCGGTGGCCTGCCATGGCCATAGTCCTTGCGACGACTCCTGCACCACAGCCAGACCCCACAATTACAACATCAGTTTCTAGTTTGGCATGGGTTTCTGCGTCGTTGAACTGCATGAACTCAAAGGGGTATGATTCGACAGGGTGCCATCCAGTAGGAGTGGATGGGAAGCCAACGACTTCATTGAAAAGCGTACTTGATCGGAGATAAACATGCTTTCCGATGATTGAGAGTTGTTTGAAGAGGACGCGAAAGGTAGCTAGAGAGCTTGTTTGCCAAGAGTTGAGTACTAATGTTCGGTCTTGGGGAGACAGGTCACAGAATAATGTGAAGTAACCAGTAAGGGGGAGGACAGCAGCTCGATTCCTGTCATATCACGATATTAGCAAACCATGCTGCTGAAAACTCAGAAGTAGAGAGTGCTTACCCGAGAAGTGAGCATACTGTGCCAATCGCAGACAGTTTATCAGCATGCAGATTGGCCAACAGTCTCTTCAAGATTTCCTGGAACAGTGGCATATTGGAAGGCTTTTCATCAAGAAAAGCCTTGAGTGTAGAGTCGTCGCAGTTGCTAAGCAGAGCACTCTTCTGGCCAGCAGGGATCGCGCTCTCGGGGCAAGGAGCAATGATAGTGTCCATAATAGCCATCATAACCTGCCATTGTGCGTCTGTGAGAGGCCCTGAACTGGGCCCTGTAGGAAGTCCAACTGCCGTACGTTCAGCCATCGTGAGGATCTTGGTGTTGCCGTTGCTCCACAAAGGGTGAATTGCGAGGGTCTGGCACTTACAAGTCCCAGGACAAGGCGGCAGACCTCTTTAAGCTCCTCGGGACATCACATGCCAGTCTGGGGTAGAGACTAACCCCAGGTTTACCCCTCATTATTCGTGTTTATTGGACGCTAGCCTACGTCGTTAGCTCATTGTTGGAACCGTTCCGACGATAATCTGCAAGAGCCGGAACGGACCCGTGCCCGCGTTGTTGAGAGTAAACCATCCACAAAAAACTACTATTAGTGAATTCCCTTCTGGAACTCAAGCACTTAGATTACCTTACCTTATTTGCGTTAACTTGAGCCGTATTAATGTTTTCTTCAGATCGAGGCTATTTCCAGAGTCAGAATCATGATGTATCCAGCTCATGTGAGAGGCGGTCCCATTTGCAGATCGCAGATTTTCGCAAGCTAGTCCCAAAGCATCGATAGATGTACCGGATGTCAGCCATCAAGCTACAAGCCAATGATTGGAGGCCAGTGCGGAGCGCTTCCGTTACTACCAACGGCACGATTCCGCGACCCGGCTTACTATTAGTGGAGGACGCACTCAAACTGCGGTTAGTGTCTGAGTATCTTTAAACCAAAGCCCATGCTATCCGGGGGCCCAGTATCCCGTGGGGATTTCTTTGGTATGAGCCACTGCAGTGGTATAAATACCAGACCAGTGCTTGCAAAAATTTAGTTACTTGAGTTAATATATAGTATAAATAACATATAAATGTCTTTCATAAAGGAATAACATATTTAAACCAGGATTTTAAAGGTATTTAGCTAATGCTCTTCATAATGAACGCAATGGCACTCAATGCAATCACACTTGGGTCCACATTCACATCCTCTTGGCCCAGGTTGCGGGTCTAGATCCCTAGGGATAAAAAGCAGGTTACACGCGTCCTGGCGCGAACGGAAACCGTTTGCTTCGAATGGCGCCATTGACGAAGGCGTAGTCTCGGGTGCGACTGACAGACGGAACTCGCGGATGACAGCTGCCAAGATCATACGCATCTGGTAAGATGCCATGTTCCCGCCTGGACAGCGACGAGCACCCAAGCCGAACGGCGCAAGGTAACGTCGACGCTCAGTGACTACCGTTGTATCAGTGTCTAGCCAGCGCAACGGGTCGAACTCATCGTAGTTGGGGAATAGGTCTGGCCTCTGTCGGCTGAGTGAGAGTGATTGTGTGGTCACGACGGTTCCGGCTGGTAGGTAATATCCTAAAATGTTTAACCCTCCTGGTGGTACGACCCGACTGCCGGTCAGAGCAACTGGTGGGCGGAAGCGAAGGCCCTCTGTGATGCATGCATTGAGTAGTTTCAGATTCTCGAGGCCATTGAACCCTTCTACCGACTGTAGCTCCGTATATAGAGCTTCTACTAAGCTAGGTGTGCTGGCAAGATAGTAAAAGATGAAAGCGAGAGCTGAGGAGGTCGTCTCGGTCGCAGCGAGAATCTGACCGGCCATCTCAGCACTCATTTCTGTCTTGCTGTCTCTGGAAAGCTGGTCCGCCATGCTTTCCACAAGCATTTCATATACAGTAGACACTTCATCGCTACCTGACCAGCTCTCCGCTTCTTCGACTGTCTTCTCACCCAGCTCGAATAAGCGGTCACTGGATCGAATTCGAAAGGCAGCATGTCTAAAAGGACTCGCCTTGAGCCACGTAAAGAGCCATTCTGGAAGGCAGAGGCGCCACACGACGAGGAAATTGTACTCGCCCACGACATGGGGGAAATCTCCTGGCTCCAGGTTCGAGTGCGGGCCCGCCATGACAAGCTGAGAATTCAAGAGGGTGGCGATGCGTAAGTGATGGACGATGTCTTCCGAGCTTTTGCCACGCGATGCACTCAGATCGTTAACCATCTGCGTAATATTCTTCTCAAACATTGGCTGCCAATAGCGCATCGCCTTTGTAGTTGTCGCAATCATGACCGGGCGACGACGTGGACGGGCGACAGGATTCCCTGGATAAGTGACAGTCCACTCATGGCCACCGATACGCAGAGCTCGGTCAGATTTCGGTGCAGTATCGAGGTCTAGTCTTGAGAACAGTGCCTGCACAGACTCCACGTCGTTGATGAGCACCATATTTGGTGCTATACGAACTATCGGCCCATTATTTGATAGTAGATGGTCAGCCTTAAAGGAAAGGCGGCCGTGCCATCTTTGCCAACGTATCCAGACGGAAGACATGGTGGGAAACCGGGGACCAGGAATCATCGAAAGAGGGTGAAGCTTGGCTCGGTATATGGCTTGGCAGAGTTTGAACAGCGTGCACAGCATCAACAGGGCAAGACCTGTTGTAGCCGGCGAGGCGTTTGAGAGCGCAGTCTCCAGCATGTTGGGTGGAAATAGCGATGACTGATAAAAAGATAAAGGAAAAGGTTGGCTCAGTGCCTATGTTAGGTTACAAAAGCCAACTTGTCTTCACTAGCAACCTACTTATTTATACCAAAACACGAAGAGGTCGTGTTGTTGTTAAAGGGGGCCGCCTGCTGCTCCCTGCCCTCACCAGTAGTTTGCGTCTCCTACACACTGCTCCACTTATGCCTAACGGACTAGAAGGATAGCCCAAAACCACAACAGCTTTACCACAGCCCCTCCAGCAGTGAACTGCCGACTGCTAGACTGCCCTGGCAGATGTTAGAGCCCGCCTAATGATGGTGTTACAAGGTGCATGACTAGGTAATGTTGATCTTTGCCAAGGGGCGTTAAATGAGCCCCTATTCTCCTAGCATTATGCCAAAAAGGGCATATACAGAGTATTTGGTCGCCTGCACAATATATACAATATATGGTTGTATAGATAGAGTTTACTAGCCGCTCCAGTTAAGTCAGATATTCGTATAGCTGTTATATCGTATATAGTTGTAAATAAATACCTCAGAGGCGTTGTAACACACAAGCCAGGAGGATTTTAGTGACGATGGTCTGTCCTCTGACCTAACCTACGCTTGGGCCTCCTCAGCCAATTTCTCCGTCTTGATAGCAGAGCACCTACTTCATATATGCTTCTAATACCAGCCAGCTGCCATAACAGGAAACGCCTTGCAAATCTACCATTACTACTAGTTACCTAGTCAACAAGGAGCCCTGCGTTGGGTTTCGCATTCCCTCGATACCAGCGATATGGGCCGTGCTCAACCTTGTTTGTTCATGGATGCAGCTTGACTAGAAAGAAGGACAGAACAGAAGCTAGGATCTCGGCAGAAGCGGAACGTATCCTATTAGCTCCCTAAATAAGTTTGGCCTGCCACTTAAAGTCTTTCTGTTTCATGGCCAACCAACAAGACTAGTTTAACAAACCGGTTTTTGCTTTTCAAGCCGCTCCAAGCTAACCATTGTCGGCAGTTGAGAAGTTATGTTGAGTGTTGTGAGGTTTAATAACGCAAAACAGGATATACCTGTTGGCCAACGGGTAGTGAATATTCGTACTCCGTATCTTGAGTCAGCCTTGAGGCAATTTAATACGAGGGGCTATCCTTATCTCTATAGCCAGTGCACGGCCAACCCGCAAGTACAGGCCGCAAGGGCTCCAAACGTGAAGTGATATACTTATCTAAGTGGCTAATCCATTGAGATCAACAGAACTAGGTCTAATTTGACCTATCTTAATACCCTCTTTTTTAATGAGAATATACAATTATAAGTCTTAGATCTCTTCACAAATACCTATTTCATGGCCGAATTTAACATTTTCAGCCCTTGAGGCCTCTAGCTAGCTCACCTTGCCCAGAGCCCTAGATACAGGTTAACTCTCTGCATCTTTCGTTTACCTGGTCTCGGCCCGTGGTAGCGCTTGCATGCACAGACTGGTCCCAACCTTCCTGACTCCAGGCATCAAAAGTGGCAATGATGTGCCGGCCGCGCCCTGTCATCCCGCGGCACAGATAGCTTCCCGTTTCTTGACGTTTAAATCCCTCTCTGCTTGGTTTCTCTGGCAGAGGGCATCGGCGCACTACAGCATGTAACATGGAGTAAGAATATACTAAAAACTCACTATTAGAATATTCTTTACTAGATATATCAGTAAGATAGTAGTAAGTTTATTAATTTACTTATATTATAAAAACGATTTTATTAAAGTATCTTCTTTTTTAAAATTCTTTAATAAATTTTATTTAATTTACTTTTTAATTATTAAAAACTTTATATCTTATAATAAGTGTTTCTTTTTACTCTATTTTTAACATTTACAAAAGCTAAGACCTAAATAATAATAAAACTACAGACTCTTTATAGAGACTTGCTTGGTTTAGATATAGCCTAAGAATGTTTTATACTATCTATCGGTCTTAAAATACATATAGAAAAGGTAAGCCTAAAGTTCAGGCCTGGAAAATCAGCCTATTAGTAATAAATCTTTTACAAGCTGGTGCAGGCCTGATGTTGACGAAGACGCCTGCTACACTCTTGAGACAGAGCTGCACCGTAACAGGTCAGATCAGTACATATCCGCTTCTTAGATATGGCTAATGACTGCGACATAGAGTGCCGAAGCTAGCTAGGCCGTCTTTAGAACACCTAAGCATTTCTGGGCTGATCCAGCTATCCCATGAGAAGGTAAATCTAATAGACTGTGCGATGCAGGAGCACATGTTTACGACGCGATAGATGTACCAGCTGTCCAAGCATTACGCTACAAGCCAATAATTGAAGCCTTGCCAAAATGCGGAGCGCTTCCGTTACTACCGCCGGCTTGATTCCGAACCTAGGCTTGTCATTCGCGGGGTGTCATTAACTTTCGGTCCTCTCACGCTAAGTGTCTTAGTATCGTCAAAACAAAACCTATGCCATGCCGAGGTCTGGGTTCTAGGGCCCCAATACCCCGTAGAGAGTTCCTCGGTATAATCACCGGGGTGACATAAATACAGACCCTATTCCTCGAACCCGTTGAATTTGCAACTTAGAACCTGGGCTAGAAGAGTCCTCAACGTCGCCTTGGTCAATCTGCGTATCCCATCTTGTCATAAGCCATGACTCTTCCATTCTCAAAGTGGGAGAAGCTCAAGCTAGCTCTGCGTCTATCATATGCTGGTATATCAATGACCGTGTTTCAGTCATAGTGCAAGTTACTGACACATATGTTCCTGAAAGCTCCCCTCACTCTCACTTATATATTACGATCTATCCTTATTACAAGGCGCAGAGGTCTCCCATCACGCTTATTCATCGTTTGCGCCGTTCTAAAAGTAGCTCTCGGGTTCTCGCCTCGGCAGCTTCAATACTTGTCTTTACCAACTCACGAGACATACAGAAAATGGATACAACAGCAAATTAAGGAAGCGAAGAAGCTCGAGCAGAAACACGTCGCAAGACTTGTATATGATCGAGAGGTTCTAGAGGATGGGAAGTCGTCGCTGCTTTGGATAGGCAATCGGAAGCAGGCAAAGAAGGTTGTCCTGTTCTTTCATGGCGGTGGCTATGCGGCCCCAATAACAACGGGACATTTGGACTGGTGCTGGCGAGCATTTGTCCTTGCAGGAATTGAAAAGGGTGTTGAGGTCGCAGTGGCTGTTCTTGAATACACCTTGATTCCTGAAGCGAGATACCCAGTGCAACTTCGTCAAGCAGCCAGCGGACTGGCTCATCTTCTACAAAAGGGTATTCCACCTCAGGACATTATAATTGGAGGAGATTCTGCCGGCGGACAACTGACAGCCCAGTTACTCTGTCACCTCCTTCAACCCCAACCAACAATCCCAGAGATCACACTAGTCAAGCCTCTCGCTGGTGCGTTTCTGGTTTCTCCATGGGTAGCACAGTCCACCGGCGATGCTTCATACAGAGAGAATTCAGCAATCGATATGCTTCCAGTACATGGTATCGTAGCATTTACTAAGGAACTGCTAGGACCTGAAGCCGAACCCGCCATCTCAGCATTTCCACTGGATAGGGATAAGTCCAGTTTGGCCGGAATGACATCTGTCTTAAGCCGGATGTACGTCACTGCTGGAGCACATGAGATCTTTCGGGACCAGGTGGTTGCTTTCAAGGATAGAGTACAGCTTTTGAACCCCGACCTCAAGTTGCAGTTTCAGTACTATAAGAATTGTGCGCATGACTTTATAGTAATCGAGAAAGAAGATGGAGAGTGTACTCAGGATATGAAGCAGTGGATGGTTGATTTACTGGATACGGAGTAGGGTTATGCTTAGCTTATGTAACCAAAATATGGTGTCCATCTCACATTCGCTACAAGCAGACATGGCATCATCAAAGCCAAATGGAACGAGCATTCACGTTCTGCAAATGGGTCATTATTATTCGTCAAAAGAGCAATGTAGAGTCAAAGTATGTATTTCGACAAGACTTATCCAAGCCAAATCAACAGCTTCGCCACTCTGTATACAATAAAGCTTCAGATTTACATCATGAGCATAGCAGCAAAAGTCGATCCAAGGGCAAACCACATCTTGGGCCAGTTTCCAGCAGCGCTGTTTGTTGAACCATCGGTAGTCGAAGGCGTAGCTGCAGCACTGCTCTCGGACGAAGTTGCACCGGCACTGGTTGTCTCTGCGTTGTTGTTCTTGAAGTCGGCGCTCTCAGTCTCGCTAGAGTCATCGGACGATGCTGTTGTTGAGGACTCGGAGTCAGTCTCCGTGGCAGTCTTGGTAGTGAAAGTTGACTCAGAAGAAGTCTTGGAAGAGGCCTTGGATGAGGTCTTTGAGGCGGCTTCGGAAGCAGTGGATGAGGAGTCATCATCGTCACTGCCACTGTCCTTCTCATCAAACTCGATGCTCTTGTATGAGCCTGTCTCATCGCTGTAAGTGTAGCTCTCAGCAGGGTTGAGGTTCTCAATCGCAATCTTCTGAACAGTCATGGTGTAAGGACCCGCACTGTAATCAGTCTCTCCGCCAGCCCATTCGATAGTTCCCTCAGCATTGTCAGGATCGCCACCAGCCCAGATGCCCAGCTTGACGCGCATGGGAGTCTGAGGGTAGTTCTCTCCTCCAAGGGCATCAGCATACTTGAGCGTGCGGACAGCGACGCCATTGATGTACCACTCGCAAGAATCCTTGGTCCAGTGAATGGTATAATTGTGGAACTCCTCTTGGGCCGCGGTGACTGCGAAAGTGGCGCTTCGGGTATCAGCTGCGTCGTTTCCTTTGCCATAGTAGTTGGTCTGAACGTCTGTGTCCTTTCCTCCCAGCCACTCCCAGTCAACCTCGTCGAGAACATCAGAAAGAAGCACGACAGACGAGACGATACCAGTTCCGGGCGCAGCCTTCAGGTGAACCTCCATGCGGCCAAAGAACATGTACCACTTGCTCTGAATGGTAGGCGAGTCGCCCTGCTTAGCGACAGTGAACTCGGCACCATCAGAAGTATACTTGACAGTGCCATGGCCAGTTCCCTCCCAATTGTCGTCATCAGCACCCTTCGTGAAGTCGACCGAGTATGAAGAAGAAGCAAGACCTTTGTTGGGATCGCATGCTGGGCTATAATCAGTGCATGTTAAGAAAACAAAGCGGATACTCCTCACGTACTCTTCTTCATAGGGTTGCACTCGCTGTAGGTCTGAGCAGCAGCTGAAGCAAAAAGACCCGCAAGGGCGATCTTAGACCACGCGGAGAAATACATCGTGGAGAAAGTAAGAAAAAATCGGATTAATATTAGTAAATGAAAAAACGAGTGAAAGTCGAAGCAGGTCACAACAAAAGAACGAGTGACTTTATAAAACGAATGCGACGTTGGCCTACTACGAGAAAAACGAAAAATAAAAGATGCGCAAGCAAACTTTAGGTAAGTGGGAGAGAATGGTAGGCTGTGGTGGGTATATAAAAAGCGACAGTGTTATCTTGCTGCGCCTGGCAAACTTTTTTTCTTTGGGGCACTTTCAGCTAACCCTGGATGTTGGCTGGAACCCAGTTTCTGTCACTGATAAGGCAATCGAAAGGGGGGGGAGATGAAGATTGACCCGGTAATACTGGGTACCGTTGCGTAACGCAATCCTTGCTGGTGGAGAACGGGTGTTCTGACGCGTAATTACCCGGTGGGTAAGTCGTCACTGTCTATGGGGAACACTTCAGCTGGTTCTGAAGATCGGATGAGCTGGGCCGTGTTATCGGCATGTCTAAAACGTAGCTGAGAATATTCAATGGAATCGAGACGCATCATTGACTTTTCTGCCCTGACGATCACAGTGGACTCGGTTTATTTTAGCCAGGCACACGAAGAATCCTCCTGTCAGCTCGTAAAGAAGGTTCGTTTCGGGTAGAATTGCAGCCTTGAGTAAGGGGTGAGCATGGGTGATGATCTCGCGAGGTGGTTCTTTTATTGCAACACGATAAATACCACTTTGAAGCTTTTTGCAACTGTTGTATTGAGACGTAGCCTTGTTGAAGTAGTGCGAGATTTACGTAGCACAGATCGAAGTGCGACACATGGCTTCGGGTACATTCGATCAATGTCCGAGAGCCCGAGACTTGGTGTGCCCTTGCAGTAAAAATAGCAGGCGCGCTAACCTAATCTTGTCAGGGCCGCTGAGTCAGTTAGTGTAGGGTAATGTTCTAGAAATCACCATGAGAAAACAAGATCAAATTCACAAGCCATAAGATAAAGAATATCATAATAGAGATCTTATCTATTCTTTTATACTCATTCGATGTTACTTATATATAATGCGATGTCGAATATCTGTAATCATCATACGGTCCTGATGCTGGGCACCAAATTGTCCAATCTTCACTTATGTGTCCATTTAGGAAATATAACACGTTGTGAACTTGCATTAGCGTATCGTAACCACGGGAGTTTTCTCATTGAAAGATGAAAAAGATCATCATTTTGATAAGGAAAAATTAATTCTAGTCTCTATTACTATTTATGCAAAGCAGTACTGAGCCACAAGCCCAGCTCAACTCCAACACGCGCTCCCTGATCAATCATACTCAAATGGCCAGCCTTATCGATAACGATAACCTCCCTGGCCTTCAACGCGTCCCCCAATCTGTGCGCGACCTCCACCGGGAGCCACTTATCATCAGCTCCCCAGATGATCTTGATTGGCACCTTCGGCCCAATCTCTCCATATCTCGCCTCCACTTCCTTCGTGGATCTGGAGTTGGCTTGGCACAGTTCACGAATGAAGCCTCGCTTTCCGCCTTCTCGCAGCCAAGGCTCTTTGAGCATCTGCATTGTCCCTTTTGGTAACTCGTAGTATGCTGCGTCGCTGATGTAGCTCTCTAGTATGCCTTCAAAAGCTGTGTCGGGGAGTTGTTCGAATAGCTGGGGATTTTCGGCGATGACTTTGAAGAGAGGTTGGCCGAATGGGCCGATTGCGACAACGTCGATGAGACACAGGCTTGCATATGGCAAGTCGTGGAGGAGATAGCCTCGTAAACTGACGAGACCGGCATTATCGTGGGCGACGATGTGAGCCTTCTCATGAGTCCAATCTGCCTGCCAGGACTTGAAGAGCGCCGCAAACACTTCTGCTTGTCGCGCGAGGTTACTGTCATACTCTTCAATTGCATTTGAGCTGGCCTTTGTCGGATCTAATTTCTTCTCTGCAGGCGTGTCGCCGAAACCAGGCCTATCGAAGAGATACACGTGAAACTGACGCGACAGTGAGAGGGCGAAAGGTACCCAGACGCGAGATGACCACGGGGTTCCATGAATGAAAATGAGAGGAGGAGATTTGGGATCACCTAATGAGCCCCATTTCACATCATAACTGTGCGTTGAGGTTTTGTAGTGAAAGCTTTGAGTTAAAGCTGTAGGGTCGTTTGGCGATGAGGTCATCATGAGATAAGAGGCAAGTCTGAGTGTTGAAGTGTCTATGTGAAGAGCAACGTGATGTGGATTGAATGAACTTGAAAGCAAAAGTGAAGAAGATTTGGTACGAATTGACACGCTTTATTTATAGATAGAAAGTGGCTAATTTGATGCAGAATATGATGACATTTGAGTGAAATGGAGGGCGAGATAAGTGAGATGACGCACCCGCGCCTTTATTTTGACGACTCACCAAAACACAGAAGCCTGCGTCGAGAAATTCCAAGAAGAACACCTTAGCAAAGTGAAGCGAGAATGAGATGAAATGATCTTGGTAAGACTTTCAGGCTTGTATATAATGATGGCTAGTTTTATTTGTTATTTTTAGTATGTCTTCTCAGCTTCTGCCTCCAGCCGCAGCTCAGCAAACGGCGACGTCTTGGAGAAGTAACGTTTCGTGCCCTGAAGTTGCCAGAACCAACACCCTGCGCCAAACAACTCCATGTCCGCGACGTATGTTCTTAGACCAGTGTTCTCTCCACTATCATCATCGCGCTCGGCTTTAATCTCAGTCCGAATGCGCTTGACCTCCTGCGCATGTGTCTGTGACATTTCCGCGACTCGTCGTGCAGCCTCATATAAGCTAATATTCTGCGTATGTACAAGCACGGCAATCAGATTATTTATATCCTCCAAAAACGTCTCTTTCTCATATGAGAAAATCTCATTCAGCAATGAGCCAATCTTTTCGCAATGCTGCTGCATCTGACGGATTCGCGGCATGGCATTGTGCTCTCCTGAGAGAAAAGTACCCATTGCCATCTCGACGAAGAGAACGGTATAGATCATTCCAGAATTCCGCAGTTTATGGTCTGCGTATTCTTCGACAGTCATGTTCTTGGCTTCGCTGTAGATCAGGGCATGAGACTTGCCAAAGTCGCTCATGGCAGCACAAAACTTGCCAAGCCAGACCTTAAAGCGCTCCTCATTGATTTGTCGGCCGCGGATATGCATGCGCGTCGAAAGCTCGTAGATAGCCCCCAACAGAAACGGATCTGTATTCAAGTCCGAAATTATTTCGTGGCACTCTTCATATGCGTTGGGATTCTCTATTATACGTGCCGCACACACGATCCCGTCTGCAAGCCGTTTTGGAGTGTCGCGCAGCTTCTGGAGATCTCTGGCCAAAAGCTGTCCCGACGCAGTCGCCTGGATAGCCTTGAGAATAGCAGCACTATCAAAGATGTCGTCATTGACAAATTGAAGCGTCATGAACCCCGTGGCAAGAAAAATTCCTTCATCGTCGGCGTTTGGGTAGAGATAGGAGCACATGGACGCTGTCTCGTTGACGATTCCCTTGATGAGCTTCTCAGCGCCCAATTGCTCAAGGTGCGGGTACAACCATTGCCGAACTTGCTCAATGACCCAGTCTGCTCTTGCATGCACTTTGTGCTGGGATGGGGGATTGTACAATTGCGTCAAAGGAATCAGAGCTTGGGAACTATTAGCCGAGAGGCTTATAAGCCCGCCATGCTCCTGATGCTTCCTCGAGGTTAGACTCTCGATTGCCATGTTGGATGGACTTCAAGAAGGGCAGTATCTGGAGTAATCGAGGCTGTTTGGAGAGTTGAGAAGTCTAGCCGGATCGTCTTGATGGAAGAATAAGCTGGTCTATTTATGCAACGCTAAAGAGGGGGCTATGAGACATCAATCTAAGACACCCAGATAACCGATTTGCTGTTGCAAAGCATTTAATCATGTAATGAAAAGGTAACAGTCTGTCATGAATGCCTAGATGTATTATCAGCCTGTATCAAAATGATTAAAGCCCCTTTGAACTCCCCAATATTTCACATAATTTCAAGCTTTGAATCTTTGATACACTCTTTGATCCGGCGTCAAGTGTGACAAGCAGATTCACCGGCAGTATGGGATGAATTAGCTTTCCGCCACATGACACGTGGAGGCATTTATGCCCCCTGATAAGGGCGACGAGGCCAATAGGTCGATCTTACAGTGAGAGGTCGCCCTTCCGTATAGGCAGTTCCTCTGCGGCACGGGATGAGATGTCGCTTGACACCTACTTGTGAACGCTACAGTACCCTTTGTGGCACAAAGCATATGTGGCGGGGATGATTGCATTCACCGTAGTGCTGTCAGCAGGCGCAGAGAATCCAATATATAAAGATGAAGAAATAATAAAAAAGTAAACAAATTCCAGAATGAAATGGCTCTGCTAATAGATTCCTGGCTCATTCAAGGCAGCAGAAAAGCATTGTGAAGCAGAAGGGCGAGATACACAGATGAGCCAATTAACGAAAGACCACGCGCCCTTATTTTGACGCCTCATTCCGATGTTTACATCAAGCACCTGAAGTTGCAGCTTAGTACTCGCGCTCACTCTCTTTAGCTAGACATACGGGAAACTGTATAACAAGAAAAAGAGAATGAATTTTTGATATCTAATGAACGGGAAAAACGGTAAGAATTGAAGCTCTTTCTGCAGTCTTGGCAATTCTGGGCGCGATTGATGATGTAACCCGCGCCCTTCAGTTGACACTAAGGATAAATATCCTCCTAGCCACCAAAGTCCATCTCCTCCTAAATCTCTTCACACATCCTCAGGTCACAAAAAAAGACGCATGGTGCCACAGTTTCGCTCAAATCTGAAGTACCCGGCTGCGACAACATCATGTCGACCACTACAGCCGTTCAGCTCGAAGCCTACGGCAACGGCACAACCTACGAACCCTCCATCTCATCAACTCTCCGTCCAACAAGAGCCGGTCTTGTAGAGAATGCCTCTCCGAGCAGTCCAGAATCTGATGACCCAGCACTTGAAGCTTCCCGCATCGCTGATAGCACCGTCCCTGATGGCGGCTACGGCTGGGTCGTGATCGGTGCCTGTGCCGTCGTCGCATGGTGGGTCATCGGACTCAGCTACGTCTGGGGCGTGTATCAAAACGCCCTCGTTGAGCGAAACGTCGGATCTCCTCTAGCTTTATCTTTCTGCGGTTCGTTATCGCCTGCGTTGATGGCGACTGTAGGGGTCATCGTGTCGAGAATGCTGCGAACGTTTGGGACACGTAAACTCAGCAGCGTGGGGATCATCCTCATGGCACTTTCGCTCATTGGCGCGAGCTTCGTCACGGATCATCTTGTGGGATTGATCTTTCTTCCTGGTATTCCTCTTGGTCTCGGTATGGCTGGCTGCTTTATGTCGTTCTCTCTCGCTCCGGCGCAGTACTTCTCGAAGAAGAGGGGTCTGGCCAATGGTATCGTCTATGCAGGCGGTGGCTTTGGAGGTGCGATTATGAGTATTGCGACCAATTCTCTCATTGAGAAGCACAGTGTTGAATGGGCTTTTCGCATCACCGGCATCCTCATCGCTGTTTCGGGACTCCCAGCTGCGCTTCTGATCAAAGAGAGGGTCCCTTTGGCCAAGACCGGAATCGTCGACTGGAGACTCTTTCGACAGCTAAACTTTGCTATCCTCTTCTTTGCCGCGGGCATCGGCATCTTCCCTCTTTTAGTCCCACCTTATTTCCTCCCCCTCTACTCTCGATCTATGGGTCTCAGTACAAACACTGGTGCTGGACTTGTTGCAGGCTTCAGTTTCGCATCCGCTGTTGGCCGAATCATGAGTGGATATCTCTGTGATAAGTTTGGGCCGCTAAATACCCTTTCAGCCTTCTTTCTTGGAAATGCACTCACTATGATTGCCCTCTGGCCTGCTTCAACGACTCTCGCACCATTGGCTGTCTTTGCAGTGCTCAATGGTTTGATGAACGGTGGATTCTTTTCTTCCATGCCAACTGTTGTCGGCAACGTCTTCGGGTCTGCTAGAGTGTCAACAGCCATGGGCATGGTGATTGTTGGCTGGGTTGCTGGCTACCTCTTTGTAAGTTCATTCACTACTCATCTGCCTCTCTAGAGAAGACTAACGTGATATGTGCAGGGATCTCCTATCGCTGGCTTCCTTCTTCAAGCACATGGAGGTGCAGATGAGGGGCTGGGTGCATATCGGCCTGCCATGTTCTACGCTGGCTCCATGTCAGCGATCGCTACTGTTCTGACTGTTATCCTACGGTTAAGGATCAACAAGAAATTAATGGCCAAGGTCTAGCCAGTCACTCAGATAATAGTTGGATAGAACCAAGAACATAGACGGAGGAGAAGGTCCTAGGGCTCACTGCGACGGTAGGTAACTTGAGATGTAGTTAGATATTAAGTAGATAAAAGTACACTACGTATGCAACATATGGTGTTTCTCCACCCCGAAAGGAAAACATAGCTTGGCCGTCTACATCAGCAGATGTTGAAATCCTACTACTTGTTTCAACCTATTTCTTGTCTTTCTTGTTGGCAATACAAATTGGGCATCGGTCATTCGCCCTGTACTCCACTGAAGTTGGGTAATGAACCCCGGTACAGGTACCATTGTTTTTATAGCCCTCACACATTACTGTAGCCGCAAAGGTTGTGTTGAGAACGTAAAAACAGACGCTGCATTTGTACACGTCTCTTTTGGTGGTGCACATCTCGATTGAGAGATATTATATCTGGCGGTGAGATGTGGCTTAGTTCAGGCTATGTTAGTACTGAAAAGATTTATGGTACTCGAAGGAAAGAGCAAGGCCTTCGAAACTCTATCGACTAATATATAGTCTCTGTGTGGCAGTGAAAAGTTGAGGGACGTATCGTCGACCATGGGTTTCAGAGACGTGCATTTCCGGAATACTTCGACATGTTCATTTTTATATCGTGGTTTCTATTGTTTAAATGTTCGACTTGTCATTGACAGTGTAACAATGTCATTACAGCTCTGAGGACATAGACAACTCATCATTTTCTTATTATCAGCTCCTGTTCAGTCAGTTGCTGCATCTGAATAGCTATCTACCAGCGTCTTGCTGACCCATTCAGCTCCATGTCTCACCCAATTACGAGGCAACTAACCACCCAAATTAGCTATCAGGTTTACGGAAAATGCATTTATCTTCCTTCTTCCGTTCTATACAAGGACTACATTCATGAAACCTGTCAGCTGTCAATTCATGTTTTATCCCAAGACAAGCAGCACGTCCTTTCTCTTGATATCTCTGGCATGGTTGAAGAGTGTGCATTGTTCTCGTAATTTCGTCACCGCATGTTTTGCAGATAACCACTGTGCCTGGAATGATACACATCCTGGAGGTGAATTTTGAGCTTGTGAATTTTGAGCTTGAGGTTGACAATAGCCTGGATAAAGGGATGTTGGGGAATGATGGTGCGGGAAAGTGGAGGCTCTGGGCGGGATCCTTTTAATTTGTAGCCCGGTCGTCGTATTGTTTTTGTGATGGTGAACATATGAGGCAATGGTTTCTGCACACTTGTGAGTTGTACTTCTCGACCATGTTCTAACCTCACCGCGCTTAAGTATCATCGATTCAACGCAATGAACGGGACTTATAAGAGTGTTATTTGGATTTGGTAGGCCTGACATACCCGACAGTTGATGCTTATATCCGCGCCTCACACGATTCAACACAAATAGCGGCATAAGGCCTCTTACATTGCCATCTGTAAATGAAAGTTATGATAGTCGGCATGGGTTATATGCTCCATATCTACAACATCGGAAATAGTCTTCAGCAGAGTAGTAATGGTCAATTACGCAACTCGACAGTAACAGTCATCCTGATATCGTTCGAGATATGTGTTTATGTACTAGCTAAAACCTAGCATATAGTATCCTGCATATTGGCTTAATCCACCGACGTGTCTTCTTTTACTTAGTATCCTTCTTGGCCTTTTTTATGCACCCAGGGCAGGATCTCTCATTCTCCGGCTTCTTATGGTATCGATATCTCTCCATTTTACAGCCTTTACCCTCTGTAACTTCCTTGCAAGGTATAGGTACATCATGAGCCTGATTGATCACACACTGGCAAATTCTGCACTCTCTAACTGTAATATGAGTTGTGCACATTCTTGCTGTTAAAAGGACTGCTTAATAGAGTATATAGTAGTGTAAGTATTGGGTTACTTTAGAATGGTAATGAAGGAGAATGATACGAGAGAAATGCTAGGCCTCTAGTTCTGTTTAAATACTTATACCATCCCACACATAAATCTGTCAGCCTGTGGGAGCAGTGCTTCATGAAGAACAATGTACCTTGAATTATGTTAAACTATCTATACCTTGTCACAGATACTCTTGAATAAAATTAATTAAAAGCAAATAGCTGTCTTATGATTCACTGCAAGCGTTACATAGCTGGCCATATGAAGTTCCGCGACGGAGGCGAGCTTCAACACTGAGCACACATGCCACACAAAAAGCAAAGCAAATAACCCCCATCGCCACAATCCCCGCTATTGTTGCTGGGAGGTGTGCAGCGACTGCAATGCCTCTTGCTACGCCACACATGCTTTTCTGGCCAATTCCCTCGACGGCAAAACGATCCAGTCTGGTGCATCTCGTCGCAGCCTCCAGTTACGGTGATTGTCTCTTTCAACATCTTTCGGCATGCCTTGCATTTCTCGATTTTGACTTTACCGGTGCACATTCTCGCTGCCAGGGGGGTTGTTCAGTGATGTTGTTCAGTAGTGTGAGTGCCACAGTGCTTGAAAGGTAGTTTAGAGAGAATGAGGTGGCTATGATGTTCGGTCTGTAGTCTTCCTTAAGTACAGATGTAACCACATCGGCGACTACGGTGAATACCTGTCTTGGCAAAGAGGACTCGTATCATTTGGGCCTGAATCAGTCATTGTTCGCGAAGATGAACAAGGCAAGCATGCAATTGAGGAGATAATATCCTGCCATTCACCGCAAGGAACATGGCGCCGATCGCAGGTCCAGAGATCTGTGAGCCGTCTCAAGCTCCCTGGTGAATAAGTGCAGCTTATGAAGTGTTGTTTGTGTTGATTGCTAAGGGAAAGGCCACGTGGGTCACGCAGACCTTTGTGCAGCTATTCATAAGTCGACAAGACCTGGAATTATGTATCTTTAAGTTGTATAACTGGAAATACCTGATTTAGAAATTTCCACGTTCTAAGTCCTCTAAATCTGTCAAGGCGCTTAATCCAGACTGTGATACGCCACGTTATCATTGATAATATAAGTTCATCATACGATCATGTAGCTGCAGCCCTTGAGCTTCAATTTCCTGTCTGGCCTAAGCTATCATCTGACGCCAAAGCTTCACCCTACTGGTCCTGGCCATCATGCCTCAAGCTGCTCTTGCAGCAATGGGCTTAGGTGTTGTGCAATCTGGGCAGGCATCTGTATCCTTCTCCGAAATGTCCTTTATGTCTGGCGACGTGCTGCTGCACTTCTTCTTCTTTAGATAGCCTTCGCAGTGCTGGATCGAGGTCTCGTCCTCAAGGATATATGCGCACTTTTTGCACTTGACGGTTCGTTTTGTCTTTTGACACATGTTGAAAGAAGATCTGTAGGTCAGCTAGTGTTAAAAAAGTTGCTATCGAAACTTGGTTGCTGGGTTTCGTCGTTTTGGAGCACTTAAAGTTCAAGACTTACTATAATTGCTTGAATTTATACTTGGGTTGTTTTATGAATGTGTGTTGAAGAATGGCACAACGGAAGTGACTGAAGTTGATGGGCAGACGAGTCGTCTAATGTGTTCGTTTGGAGGGGCTGAAAAGCTGGTGAAAAGAAGTGGTGTTGTTCTTGCTGAGTTGTGTGAAAGATTGGTAGTCTGAACCTCCCATCTCTCTGTCCAATGCTCGTGTTTATATCTACACTAGAGTTTGCTGCATGCACATTCAGAGGGCCAAGGGGGCTGATTTATGACTTCTGAATGGCCTGTAAATCTGCCCTGGGGATAGTGATGCTTTGTTCATAGCGAGAGTGATAGCTACTCAGCACAGATCATCAGACATCGAACAGCTTCCACTGATTGACTGTGTGACCAATGTCTCACTGTCGTTAGGTTGTGGCTAATTCCATCAATGAGGCGATGGGCGACTCAGCGAGGATATATCTGAATGCCCCCATTCACTTGACCTCAGCTCCTTTCTACGTGCGAAATAAAGGTGCGTGACAATCCATATCTTGTACCGAAATCTCTCACATTATCGCTGATGTCCGAGCTTCATTAAACGAGCAGCCAAAGGGCTTGCGTCCTTACCGCTTCCCGTAGCATGTTTCTTCACTAAACAACTGTATTTATATCTCATAGTCTCGATTGACGCTAGCTGCTGCTGTTATCTCACCTTCCTATTTTGCTTGCATTATCCTCTCCGAATAATTGCATCATAATTACCGGGGGCCGAGATAGTCTACCCCGCTCCGTCTTATCTCCTCAAGCTTCAATCTGACCTCAAACTCGTTTGATCCAGTGCATCTCGACCTGATCACAATTGTACTCTAAAGTCAAGTACTATCGCACCAATTTAAAGATGTCCCAATCACAGCTTGACATTAAAGCGCTTCGGGCAAAGTTCCCAGCTCTTCAGCAGGACCAAATCTTCCTCGACAATGCTGGTGGAAGTCAGATTCTGGGTGCTGCAGCCGACTCGTGCGTTCTACTATTGACTTGGGAGTCTTTTTGCTCTGACTGTTGTTACAGAATACGAGATTACCTCATCACCTCGAATGTGCAGATGGGCGCCTCATATGGCGTAGGCAAGCTCTCAGCAATAAAGGTGAACAATGGCTACGAAGCGGCTGCACGATACATCAATGCACTTCCCGATGAAATCGGTAATTGAAATCTTTGCAAGATTGTCACAGGATACTCGACTTACGGAGAAAATAGTGTACGGCGCTTCTTCAACCCAATTGCTTCGCAACCTCGCCCTGGGCCTCACCTTTGCTCAAGGCGACGAGATCATCGTATCAACCCTCGACCATGAGGCAAACATCGCCCCATGGCTGGACCTAGCTGAGCGACAAGGACTCATCGTCAAGTGGTGGACTCCAGAAGGCCAAGGCAACAATCCCAAACTGACAGTCGAGAGCCTCAAGCCGCTCTTATCCGACAGGACGAGATTCCTTGCCTTGACTCATTGCACCAACCTGCTTGGATCAATCCACGACGTCAAGACCATCGCTGCAACTGCTCACGAATACACGAATGTTTTAGTCTGTGTGGATGGAGTAGCTTACGCACCTCACCGACCCATCGACGTCAAGGATCTGGACGTTGACTTCTACTGCCTTTCATGGTACAAAGTCTTTGGCCCTCACATCGCAATGCTCTACGGCAATCGTGAAGCTCAGAAACAGATCCGTCCACTGGGCCACTACTTCAACCCCGCTGAAAGTCTGTCCGACAAGGCTGGCTTCTCAGCTGGAAGCTACGAGCTGATAGCGAGTATATCCGTCGTGGTAGACCATCTTCTTGCCGAGAGCTGGGATAAGAGTATCCAGCAAGAGACGGAAATCCAAAAACTACTCCTCGACTACTTGAACGAACGAGATGACGCAAAGATTTACGGAGAACCGGGTTCGGATCCCGACAAGCGTTTACCTATTGTTAGCTTCACTATTGACGGATGGAACTCTCGAAGTGTCGTAGCAGCTATCGAAGCCAACTCGAATCTCGGTCTGAAACATGGCCACTTTTACTCTCATCGTTTGGTAAAGGAGGTTCTTGATCTTGACACAACTGATGGTGTCGTTCGCGTGAGCATGGCACATTATAACACCCGTAAGTCCTAGTGGAACGCAATATCGCACTACTAACTATTGGTAGGCGAGGAGATTCAGACTGTTATAGATACCTTACAGAACATCATTGTTAAGCGATAAAGGCGACTGGGGAGGATACGATGAACAAAGATACACGGCATATGCTATATAATATCTTTTGCTCAAGTGTTTTTTGAGCTTCTAGAGCCAGGATCTCTTGTCCATGTTGAGATGTCCCATCCAAAAGGCACAGAACCACTTAGATAGCCCTCAGTCTCCGCTGCATAGTTGTGGCTGCCCCCAAGACTCTCATCAGGGGGGAATAACCCAGTCGGGATCTCATCTTCAGCCATATTGAACGGCGAGGCTAGGTGATGAGCGAAATCGATATCCGCGCCGACAGATGCTTTGGAAATAGTAGGATACGGTATGCTGGCCTCTGATTCCCCGTTGAGAAGTGCCAGAGGATGGCACAGTAACTCTCGGAGCTCATGTATCAAGTGATGAAGTTTGCTGTTGCCGCTCGACTCAATGAACAAGTATGAGTCATCATCAAATGATCCATCTCCGTATGAACCAGAATCCTCTAGTGTCTCTGCTTGAAATCCTGGTAATTGTTCTTGTATAGTGTCTTGATATTTTGCCAGCCGAGCGTGGAAGCTACGTGCGATTCTATCTCGAGTGGCACATAGAGCAAGAATCTCGATACACGGGCGTGAAAGCACAATGTCCTGCTGTCTAAATGCGGCTGCACCGCCCACGAGGAAGCTTTTGATAGCAGTGAAATTCAGCATCAGGAAGGTAACGTAGCATTGATAACTAATAATGCGTTAGCTTGGTCCAAGATATAGGATGGCCTCTTACATAGTTAACCAACAGTTCTTCACCACAGCTTTCTCCTCGTGAATCAGCCCTAGAAGTCGAGCTGAGTTGCGAGCAGCATGAACGCCCTCAAAAACGGCAGCCATGGCCTCTGGATCCCATATGTAAACCGCTATGTCCTCCTGAGTGGCGACCAGCGCCCTGGCCTTAAGAATAAAAGCGGACATGTAAAAGAGATGCATATAAAAGGTGACCCGGCGTTGATCAGGAGAGATCTGCGGAGTGTGCATCAACGTCTCGAGACGCAGGCATGGTGGCAAACTAGATCGCCATATGTCTAGATCTTGGTGCATTTGCCTTAGGATAGCAGGAGATAATACTCTAAAACATGCCACGGTTCGTAGGACATTGGCTTTGAGGATTGTGATTTGTGCCATTTTCTCCTGGAGTATCCCGATGACAGCATCCTCTCCTGCAGAGACCACGACTCCAGTGTTGTCCATCTGCTGTCTTGTTTCCTGAACAAATCAGCAGCAAATAGCACAGTCTGCGTGAGTTAACTTACGTGGATGCATCGGGAGACTTCTGGGCTGGGGATATGTCCGAGAGTGGCTGTTAACCAGCTTCGCACTGTGATAAGTGCTGTGAAAGTCTTGACATAGCCCTTAAAGTCCTGTTCCGAAAGAGTATGTGGCCGCTTCCTGACACAGAGTCCACTCGAGGAGCCCAGAAGAATACCCCAGTCTATTGGCAAGGTTGATTAGTAACGAGGTCTTTGACAGAACATGGTAGACTTGCCTATATAAGATATTGCCAATGAGGACTTGGCGATGACATTGTATATCCCCAAACAGCAACATATCCTCATCGCACGCAGAGGAGCCTTCTCCACAGCATAATCGAGAAATAGTCGAGCTTTCTGATAGAACGGCGTACAGATCGATGCGCTGCCATTGGGTAAAGTCTGTCGATCATACTGAAAGCCCACGGCACAGATTGCCAGCAGCTCGCCATACGCAATCTTTCTGCTGAGGACCTGATTGGGTTTCCCCTCCTGGCTCTTGAGAAAGGTGTCGGTGATGGAGTCTGTTTCCTCCCTCGTGTAAATAGGGTACATGGTGCCTAAACACGAGAAGTAACAGTTGACTCCATCTCGCATAGCTTGGATGGTCGCATCCGAAGTCTCAGTAGAGAGAAGCTCGTTCTCAAAGAGTAAATTGCAGTCGTAGACCTGCTGACTCCATGCTAGCCTCGCACTCGCTGGGTCTCTAGAAGTTGAGACAGAAGTACTGCCCTCGTTCTTGACAAACTCAAGTGCTGCTTCGATGCCGAAGCCATTGCGTATCCGCTCAAAGAAGTTGTTGGCTTCATTCGCGGGCCGGTCCTGGAGGTACCGATACAGCGCCGTGAACGACTCGACATTCTCCTGCAGAGCCTGCTGCCGCCTTATGAGGATCTCGTTTCTGTTGCCCTGGAGTGTGTACTCGCAGCTCCGGCCTTTTGACATGCAGGGCCCGCAATCAGGGCGATCTCCGTCGCATTTTATCTTTTTTTTCTTGCAGGGCTGGCAGGCTGAGATGACCTTTGTTTTCCGCGGGATTCCCAAGTCGCTGGTGGATCTTGGTGCTGATGGGTTGACAAGCGTTGATGTTGGACGGGGTAGGATTGATCTGTGGGCTATTGAGGGTGAAGAAGGTTCCATTGTTGCCTTGTCCGTTGGGGAAGACGGATTTGGTCAGCACTGATGCTTTTTTAGAGAGGTTGGTGAGCTGTTGAGTAGCGCCACATTGATGCACAGGCGAGGCCAAGGTTGCCACTTCCGGTCTATGTCTTATCTTATCTTATCAATGATAAAGGCCTTATCTTATCACCACTGTGTAGCCTCACATCGTTATAAGCAGCCCTTTCTGTCCACACTGTGAGCTATTTGCTATAAAGTAAAAGCTATAGCAATATTATAAATAAAGTATTCCATCAGGCTATTATTCTTACACTTACTACTGCATGTTATAGTAATAGTTATTCGTCTCTAATTTAACCTCTATCTAAAGTCTCTCCCAGTCATCTTAATAATGCCATTTCTTATTACTTGTAAATAACTCGATAGAATTAATCCATTTACTGAGATAACTGGTCAGTAAACTATGCTCAGGACTCATGAATTAATTGAACTGCCTCTCTAATATCTAAAAGGGCCCTATCATCTGTCAGTCGACACAGTAAACTACTACTTGAGGTTTGCTCATCTTACCGTGACCCTGCCCAGTGCACCCTCCCGTTTAAGCTCTTACACATAGCCTGGCTACTAGCATCATCCGGCGCCACATCTGCTGCGGCAAAGTTATCGCCGCTGAATGCCCTCGTCTTAGTGCGGAGGAGCTCAGAGCTTACCGCCTTTGCAAGCCCTCTACGGCGGAAGGGCTCCTACTGGCTATAAGTCTCGTGTATATTGTCACTGGTATAAAAGTCTTAACCTACCTCGCAGTGGACGCTACATAATGAGCCATCCACAGCTTATCTGGTCAGAACAAGGTGATTCCTACAGCAGATTTGCTCTACTTACCCAAGAACGCCCGAGCCACAGGCGTACCGTCCTTCAGCTTGATAAACAGGCTTGGCAGTGTCAACAGGATCTTCCTACTCCCTATCAGTAACGTAGATGATCTGACATTGCGGTTGCTTACACGCTGCGTGGCATGCTTGTCCGAGCCTTTACCGGCTCGCAGTCCCGAACCGTGCCTGACCCCCAAACCATATCCGATGGTAGCTCAAGCTCATGAGGAAGCGGGAGCTCGTCGATGCGGAAGATGAACTTGCCATACTCGTACGTGGGAGTCGGACCGAAGCGCAACCCGCTGGCCAGAGCTCCTTCGCGCACAGCGTTGTTGAGCGAGCCGATGAAGATGTGGTCAGAGTGCGCGAGAGGTTGAATAGGATAGACCCTTGCCTGGTGCCTGGCCTCGTTGAGTACAGCTATAATCTGCAGCCGGCAGAGGGCGTCTTCGTCGGGAGACAGACTAGGAGAGGCTGGTATTGCGCCATAAGAGTCCTCGAAAGTCGAATAGAGCCACATGTTAGTCTCGAGACCAAGGGAGGGATCTAAGTAGGTGGCTGTGAAGTGTCGAATCGTGTTGCTGGCGCTTCGTTCTTGGAGAGGCACGTCTGATGCGACAATGATTCGCACAGAGTCCGTCTTACCTGTAGGGAAGGTCGTGAAATGTAGACGACGGAGAAGTGTGATGCATTGGGGAAGCCTGGCCTCGAGCAGTCGAGGGAGATTTGCTGGGACGTCTGTGAAGACTTGGACATAGTGGCGGTTGGACGACATAATGGTGATACTGATCGATAGGTAGACAGATAAGTAGGTAGATAGACATACCCTTTTTCTAGAAGTAAAGCCTGTTACGAGATGTATAAATAGTGATCTGAGGTCCTTAAAAACACTCTTCCGCCCTATCAACCATCTACATAGCGTCCAGTATATGAGTGCGGTCATCGATTAGTGGATACTAAGACTGGGGCATCTACTGACGCGCACGTTTCTTGGGAAGAATTGTAGATCAACTATAGAGTATCCAGTTAGCTTTATAAATGTCCTCTAAAGCTGTATATTTTTCGACATAAGGGTGCACTCACTTATCTCTTAGGTGAGGCTTGCTTTTCATTCTCATACTTCTTATTGACTCTTCATACTGTGATGCTTACATGCATAAGGCTAAACCGGACAATATACTAAATGCATCACACTTAGCTACTAATAAGTAAGACTTATTAGGATGTAAGATTTATAGATACAGTAAGGTATAATAATAAATAATAATTTAAAATATAAATCCTTTATTATTTATAAAATCTTCTAAAAAGGTATACTTATTTTCTTAACATTATAGCAATCTTTACTGCAAGCTAAAGGCTGAACAATAGCAACAAATATCCTATCAGCAAACTCTTGAATCCTTGAAAGCAAAGAATGCCTTCATACCTGATCTCCACAGACACCCCATCATCCCCACGTCCCGCTGTAGATCCCTTATTCCAGAAGGATCATCTTAGCCTAGAAAACAAGAGCCGTCAAGCACGACCAAGCAAATCCTTCAACATCAATAATAATTTATCTCGAAAGATCCTTCTACCAATGCAAGCTATCTGTAAAAGCTGTAAGTCAAAGTCAGCGGCTTTTCACGTTGCACAAAGCGTATTTCCGGTCAGCAGATCCCGTATTAAAGTTCCATCCGATCGGGCTGATTATTCCTCCGAGCCAACCCCCGGCTCCTGATCCTGATCCTTCAATTGCAGCGGGAGCCCGTTCTACCGACAGACCATTCGATTAGATCTCTGATTGTCCCTTGATTTTTGCAGAGGGTTGATCGTTCTGTTTGTCTCTGATCGAATCAGAAAATCCGAATTCCGAAGAATGCCGCCTCCCAATTGTCTCCTCCATGTCGAGGACACCTTTGGACCCGTCGTCAAGGGATGCGGGTCCAATTTTGACTTCACTTTGTTGTTTGAGGAGACGATTCTTTGTATTCTTCCTCTTTGCGTCGCTATTTGTCTTGCTATCTTTCGAGTTACACGACTTTGGAAGAAGCCGGTGATCTTCAAGGGTTGTTTCATATTGCCGCTGAAGTTGGTATGTTCTAATTTCTCTTTCGTTATCCTCCCTTGCACCAAGGAAAACTAATTGTAGACTAATGTGATGGCCTCAAGATCGCATGGACTTTAGTACTTGGATCGCAAGCGAGCGTTGTCGCGCTTTTCTCGATCCGCGATGAAACACGAACGAGAGCCAGTATTGCCGCGGGGAGTATTGGCATAGTCGGCTCCGCGATACTAGCATGTCTGTCTTTCCTGGAGCATCAACGGGCAGTGCGCACCTCGTCCATCTTGGTTCTATACCTCCTGTCGACTATCCCCATGGATGCCGCTCGCGCGCGAACCCTCTGGCGAATGCTAGATGGACGAGACCCTGCTATTGCTGTTATGGTGCTAGGAGCGACCAAGGTTTGCGCCCTGGTCACTGAGATGCTGTGGAAGTGTTCGTTGGCAAACAGACATGAACTATGCGATGCCCCAGAGGAGAGCAATGGCATTATTGAACGTGCGCTTATGCTCCGAATGATGCCCATCTTCTGGGCTGGATATCGTACACCATTGCAGACTGAACATCTCTCCAAGCTTGACACCAAACTGCAAAATGCCGAGTTGAGGCCGTCCGAAAAAGGCATGTTCCCGAGAACCTTCTATCGTATCACAGTGAAAACGTCGCTAACAGTATCTAGGACCAAAGAGAAAGCAGGGGCCGATCAAGCTTGCAAAAGAGATCTTCTTCTCTCACACTTACGAGTTTCTAGCGCCCATATTCCCCCGACTATGCTACCTCTCCTTGACTTTTGCCCAACCATTCCTCGTCCGTCGAGCGATCGACTACATCTCGAAACCAAAGACCGAGGGCTCTGGTGAGAGAGGCGATGGACTCATTGCAGCATATGCTCTTGTCTACTATGGCATCGCAGTGAGATCCCATCTGCTCTGGATAGTAGACATGGTGCTAACAAGAACCAACTAGTTCGTATCCTCTCTGTACGAACAGAGCGCTGTTCGAGCCACCACCGTCGTCCGTGCCGATCTATCGATGCGAATCTACCAACAATCACTGCTTCTGGATCGCGTCGTGGACACAGGAGACTCAAGTACAACAATGATGACGGCTGATGTCGAGCGCGTGCAGCTTGGAGTTCGGAAGCTACACGATGCCTGGGCGAGCTTCGTATCTGTTGCAATTGGACTATGGCTCATCGAGGCACAACTAGGCCTTGCAGCTTTGGTTACGCTAGGGCTAATCGGAGGTAAGTTAATCTACCACTGCTATAACGGACAGAGCTAACAGCAGACAGGTTCTTTGCTGCTTGGCGGGTATTGGTCTGGACGCGCTAGTAGATTCCAGAAGAACTGGATGGCTGCCATCGAGAAACGTCTTCACAAGACAGTGCAGGTCTTGAAGGGTATCAAGAGCATAAAGCAGATGGGCGCGGCGCCAGCGATAAAGACCATGCTCGAAGATGAAAGACAATCAGAGATCAAGCTGTCCAAGAGATTCCGCCTTCAGCTCATCGCACTCGTAACCTTATGTGAGTAACCGTCATCTTTGTCTTGACCATCTGCTGATCAATGCATAGCCTTCACCTCTCTCACCATGCTCCCTGCTCTGGGTCTGAGTGTTCACAACGCCGTATCAGACAAATCATCAGGACGTATCCTGACAGCGCAAACAGCCTTCCAAGTAATGACCCTCTTCAACATTGTAAGCTCAAGTATACAAGACTGTACCTCCCACGTCATGGCCATCATGGTAGGCCTCGGCTCACTACAGCGTATCGAGAGCTTCCTCAACCAGCACACCTGGACGGATCCTCGAAAGTCCATCAGAGATGCTAGCATCAGTACAGATGAGAGTTCTGTTGGTGGTACGAGCGAGAAGAAGGTCCTCACCGACGTGGCTGTCAAGATTCAAAACGTTAGCGCAAAATGGACTGAAGATGGTGAAGCTATCATCAAGGATGCTACGTTTGACGTGCCAGCCCATGGACTAACTGTTATTGCTGGACCGACAGGCAGTGGAAAGTCGACTCTGCTGCGTGTTGTGTTGGGCGACCTTGCACCGTCATCTGGAACCGTTTCTATCGATGATTCGCAGGTTGCTTTCTGCGACCAGACGCCTTGGATCGCTAATATCAGCATAAAAGAGAACATTGTCGGTGCCTTGCCTTTTTATGAAGAGCGCTATCGCATGGCGCTTCATGCATGTGCTCTAGATCAGGACATCGAGGATCTGACCGACGGAGACAAACATCTTTGTGGTCTGAATGGGCAGTCTGTCAGTGGAGGACAGAAAGTTCGCATAGTGAGTGTCACTTTTCAGTACGACACGCTACATGGACTAATCACAGCTCTAGGCTCTAGCGCGTGCCATCTACTCCAAGGCTACTCTTGTTCTTCTCGACGATTGTCTTGTAGGTCTAGACACCAACACTGAGCGCCATATCCTGGGCGAGATCTTTGCGCCCCGAGGTCTTCTCAGCAGCGCACCCACCACGACTATCCTCGCCACAAGTTCACGTAAGTTAACTTTCCCATTGAATTACACTCGCTAACAGCATATAGCGAGATATCTCCCCTTCGCCAACTACATCATCCTCATTGACGCTGACGGCCGCGTTGTTCGGCAAGGCACATACGCCGAGATTGCACCGCATATTGAGCAACTCGAACATGACGTGCTGCAAGTATCTGACCATGCCTCCACTGCACGAGAACCTAGAGCCCAAGACTCTGATGAACTACCCAACACTGCAATCACCAACGACATTGCCTTTAAGAAAGGCGCCAATGGTGATTGGGCAGTGTATAAGTGGTACTTTGGTGTCATTGGCTGGATGGACTTTGTCGTCTTTCTATTCCTCTGCTTGGGATTCGTGATAGGCGTCATATTCCCACGTAGGTCACCCGTCATAGCACTTCTATCGACCTAATACTGACCATCGATAGAAATTTACCTTGGACTATGGTCGGAGAAAAGCCTCCAGAACCAAATCGATACGCTCCCGTCATTCTATGGCATCTTCTTTGGAGTTGGCTCGATGGCCTGGGTAGCTCTCTTTTCAGCATGTGTATGGCTCTTTTTACGCATCGCAGTGCGGACTGCAGCGTTGTTCCACCATCTCATCCTCACCACAACACTCAAGTATGGCATTCCCCCCATCCAGGCTCTTCTCGCGCTTGCTAACAGTGCTTTAGTGCCAGAATGGATTTCTTCTCCCAGACGGATAGTGGAGTCACGTTAAACAGGTACGACAACTACAACTTTTGTGCACAGACATTCGCTAATCGCATCCGCCTCTAGATTTAGCCAGGACCTGCAGATCACCGATATGGAGCTACCGCTAGCTTTCGTTGGCGCCACGATGAACTTGCTGATGCTTATCGCGCAGTGCGTCGTTGTTACCATCCAATCTCACTACGCCGGCTTTGCAATTTTGGCGATTGCCGTTGTCATTGGATTCTTTCATGAGTTTTACCTTCGAACGTCTCGAAGACTTCGTGTCCTGGATATCGAGGCGAGGTCACCTGTCTTATCCCTCCTTCTGGAGTCTCTTGATGGACTCGCCACTGTGCGTGCATATGGTTGGGCGGCCTGGTATTTGAGAAGAGGAATTGAGGTTCTTGAGCGATCGCAAGTACCCTTCCACTTCTTGCAGTCTGCACAGGTTACCCTCAACCTTTCAGTAGACCTGTTCGTCGCGACTCTTGCTCTTGTGGTCATATCCATTGCTGTCGTCCAGATGAATACCAGCGGTGGCAGTCTTGGTCTTGCGCTGTTTAACATCGTGGGACTTGGACAGTCGGTCAAGGGTGTCGTCTTCTTCTGGACTTCACTTGAGATCACACTCGGTGCAGTTGCTCGTATCAGAGACTTTACTGAAGACACAAAGTCGGAGCATGAGTCGGATACGAAGCCTCCGGTAGAGTGGCCATCGAGGGGCGAGATTCACTTCAGCAATGTAACGCTGACTCATTCGTAAGTGTAACATAGCAGTGATAGAGCTCTTGGAGAACTAATCTATGGTATAGAACCTCGTTGCCTCCAACTATCTCGAATCTCACATTGGATATCAAGCCAGGCTCCAAGATGGCTATTTGCGGCCGAACGGGAAGGTATGTTCCTCGCAAGCAGATACTGAACCCAGCTATCAGGACACTAACTCATCTGTCAACAGCGGCAAGAGCACGCTAGTCAATTCATTGCTCGGCCTGGTACAGGTGTCTTCAGGTATCATCACTATTGACGATGTTGACATATCAACCCTGGCCAAGGATGAAGTGCGTTCTCGTTTCGTAGTCCTCCCGCAAGAATCTCTCATCCTCTCAGTAAGTATACGAGAGTACGCCAAGCTCTTTGGCATTTCAGACGAGCAAGAGATCATCCAAGGCCTCAAGAAGACAGGCCTCTGGCAGACCATTGAGCAAGGAGGCGGCCTCGACATGATAGCTTCAAGCGACACCTTCTCCCACGGAGAGCGTCAGTTATTCGCCATGACATTAGCTTGCCTCAAGAAGGGAAAGCTTGTGCTTATGGATGAACCTACAAGCCAGTAAGCAGCACACGTGACACATCTTACAGCTCACAGCTAACCGCTAAAGCGTCGATAATGACATACAGACACAGCTGCGCCAGACAGTATTCGACACGTTCCCCGATAGCACTGTCCTCTGTGTCACGCATCAGGTTGCAACGATCGTTGAGTTTGATATAGTTCTAGTACTAGATGATGGCAAGATTGTTGAGCAAGGCGATCCCAAGGAACTGCTCCATCAGCCAACCTCTCGCTTCGCACAGCTGTACTCGGCTGGCGAGCTTTGACCCCGAGGATAAGATTATGCAATACATGCTGCAGGCGTCTTTGTCATGATGACGCCTGGTGTGCCGAGCAGTCAGTTATAATTAGATTTCTATCATGTACTTCCAGTATCTCTATCTCTTATTTTCGTATTACATCCTTGTCTTGACATGGTGATAAGAACCCCAATATGCAACCACCATTGAAGCATGCTGTTTTTCCTGGGACATAATCCAACAGTAGTCAGATGGTGGGTTATATGATGGCCCTTGCACCTTTCTACAGTTCGTGAATATTCAATTAGTAAGTCCCAATACCAGATTTTCTCAATAGACTCCCGATGCTTCCACGCCGTGCCTGCGTGGCCTCTGTTGGTCGTAGCAATCATGGCCGACTGCTTATCCGGCTGTTCCGTCCTGTCAGATCGCTACCCATCTCTCGCAAAGCCTCGGGCCCTTGCAACTCCAATGATATACCCAGATTAGACCATAGCGCTACACAGCCTGCAATTGCATTAGCGCAGGCGCAGTTGCTCCCAAAGTCCATCGCATAGCTAAAAACTAACCTAGCGTGGAATCTGCTGATGTTTGCTGCTTACCTTACCCCTCAATAACTGGATCTAGTTTGTCACCCGCTGGTCAGAGCTTTATGATAATGTTTGTAGTGCTGATATTATACCGTACATAACTGGAAGCATCTCCGGGCTGGACCCAAACATCAGTGCATATGCAGGATGAGGGAACGCATACCAACCCGAAGTTTAAGCTAGCAACCAACCTGCAGACGGCCTCTTCAAGTGATGTTTGCGTGGCGGTACCGTATTGGCTGGAGTCGGACAGGGGGGGTTTTATCCCGCACTGACAGCCGACCCATCATCTGCAGCATGAACCGTAAAGCAAGCTTGGTTTACCACGCGGTTGGTTCTCAAACGGCTGGAGCTCATTTCCGTGCTGCAGCGTGTGTAGCACAAAAGGCACTGTCCTCCTGAGGCACAGTACTAACTACCGGCCTTGGCGGAGGAAACGGTGAAGCAAATAACCTTTTTGCGACATCAGGGGGCAACCAACATACATATACGCAAACTGTTTGCTCCTGTATCACCTGTTGTGCTAAATCACTCATCTAATATCCACGCGTGGCGATGATCAGAGCAAGCGCTACCCATCGATCAGAGAGCAAGGTCAGGATTACTCGCCCCGGCGTAAGCTAGGGACGCGCCGTATCTCTGGGTCGATGTCGCATTTTTACACTACGGCCCGCAAGGATATCGTGTTAGCGCCGGACCAAGAGTCGACGAGTCGATCCCGCGTGAATTATTTCCAGCATAACAAGGCTTCTATAACATTAAGCTGGTGCGGGTTAAACCCTCTTTATTCCATGTAATTCCCGTGCATCTACGGAGTATCGCTTTTTTTCTCCTCGCTTTCGTACCTGAAACGGGCTACCTCGCCCCCATATCTCGAAAGGATTCGGACCCGCTATGTTGGTGCTACTGCAAGCGTCATATCATGAACCATTCCAGAAACAGGCCCGATCGTCGGAAGAGGCGCGGACGACACTTAAGGACTTGTTCTTGCATCCATAGTGCGATATTTCACCAAGTAACTGCATCTAAACTATACCACTGAGAGCTAGATCACGCGCCACCTGTGATTGATATTACGACAATGGCAGTGCAGTAGCTCGTGGAGCTAGCAACCAACACGCCGGACCCTTGTGAACTGCTGTGGAGACAATGAACCAGGAATCTGGGCGCGCTGTCTTCTCATGTGGTGATTACCGAGCGAGCGTATCACGGCCAGTCGATGGCCGCTGTCCCATATGTATGTGCCGCTGCCGGTGGTGTCATGAACTATCCCATACTCTTTTCATGTAATTTTTGCCCCCCAGAGTTACAAGACTCTGGAACGAATTTCATCAGTATACCCCAATTTGTTTTGACGTTTGTCTTTTTTTTTGCAATGCCCTCTCAGATTCCACAATGGCGAGAGCCAATCGCTATTGTGAGCATGGCATGTCGTCTCCCAGGTGGAATCGACAAGCCGCTGGACCTATGGGACCATGTCCGAGCAGGTCGCTCATCTGCTACGGCGATACCCAAAGATCGGTTCAATGCTGAGAACTTTCTCTCCATGGATCCTAACCAGAAGGGTGCCCAGGCCTTTAGAGGCGCTCATTTCGTCAAGAGGGACATTAAGCAGTTTGATCACAAGTTCTTTGGTATCAGCAAAGACACTGCAACAGCTATGGATCCCCAACAGAAGCAGCTGCTCGAGGTTGTCTACGAGTGCCTCGAGTCTGCCAACATCTCTATGGAAACAATCTCAAAGTCAAAGATTGGCTGCTACTGTGCCATGTTTGTGAGTGATTACCACGACATGCTCATGCAAGACCCTGAATATCTTCCAACGTTCATCGCTATCGGAACGACACGAACTATGCTTGCGAACCGCATCAGCCATGCACTCGATCTTGGTGGCCCAAGGTATGTCGTCATTTCCCAAAAGAGGCGATTACAGTGCTGACGCCTCATGCAGTGTCACCATCGATACTGCCTGTTCGGGTGCCCTGGTGGCCCTTCATCTTGCCTGCCAAGCACTGCAGGCTGGGGAGTGTGATGGCGCTGTGATTGGTGCATCTAATCTGTTCCTGAGTCCTGATTATGCACTGTCTTTGACGCGTCTCGGGGCTATTGCTGCGGATGGTCAATGTAAGACATTTGATGCTAGCGCTAATGGGTATGGACGCGGTGAAGGAACCAATGCAGTCTACGTCAAGAGGCTCAGCGATGCTATCAGAGATGGTGACAGCATTCGGGCGGTTATCAGGGGTACTTCATCTAACAGGTGCGTCTCTTCAGTTTTGACCCAAGGCCCAGACACTAACAGTTCAGTTCTGGTGCCACTCCAGCCATTACGGAGCCATCTGGCCGAGCTCAGGCAGACACTATCCTGCAAGCCTACGCCCAAGCAGGAATCAATGATTTTAGCGAGACAGGATACTTTGAGTGTCATGGAACAGGTACTCCCGTTGGCGACTGCATCGAGTTGGGCGCCGTTGGCTCAGTCTTTTCCGAAAGCCACAAAACCCAAGATGCACTCTGGGTCGGTTCTGTAAGTCACACCTTTCTTTTATCATCAGTCGAAGACAAACTAATCTGAACAGACAAAACCCAACGTCGGGCATTCAGAGGCTGCCAGTGGTTTGAGCAGTCTCATCAAGGTGGTCTTGGCCCTGGAAAAGGGCGAGATCCCTCCCAACACAAATTACAAGACACCCAACCCCAAGAGTATGTAGCCTCCTTGCCGGCTTCTGATGACCTCGGCTAACGATAGTTTCTCAGTCGACTTTGATGGGTGGAGAGTTCGTGTTCCAACAGCTCCCCAGCCATGGCCGTCCAAGTCCATCCGCCGGGCTAGCGTCAACTCTCTTGGTATCGGTGGATCGACTGCCCATGCTGTTGTTGAGTTCTACGAACCGCCTCAGCTGACCAATGGTTCAACCAATGGTGTAAACGGAGTCAATGGCACCAACGGCATCAATGGAACCAATGGTGTCAACGGTATCAATGGCGTTAACGGCCATCATGAAGACGAGGAGAAGACCAACGACCCGTATTTCCTCCTCTTCACATCCGGCGCTTCAAAGAGCTCTCGAGAAACAAACGAGCAGAACCTTTTAGAGTTCCTCAAGTCTCACGAGGAGTGTAAGAGTCTAACTAGCCCTCTTGTCAAAGCGCTCAACGCTCGAAGCCAGATCAACATCCGGCCATGGAAGTCATTCGCTGTTGCTCAATCTGTTGATGGTCTTGTTCAGCAGCTGGAAACCAACGCACTCAAGGTTGGAGCAGGCCCGACAAGTGGCGGGTCACCGCGTGTCTTGTTCGCATTCACTGGCCAAGGAGCTATGTGGTCGCAGATGGGTAAACGTCTCCTTGATGCGTTTCCTGTAGCGCGCAATAGTTTTAACAATCTCGAGGAGGTTGTAAGGGAACTTCAGTCATCCAAGACACCGACTTGGTCATTAATAGGTACGTTGAGATACATCATCTCAACTTGACAGTGACTGACACTCTCGCAGACAAGCTTACCACTGAGCTCTCTCAAGAAGAGATTGACTCACCAGCTCTCGCGCATCCCCTCTCCATGGCGGTCCAGATCGCGTTGACAGATGTTCTCTCGAGCTGGGGCGTTCTTCCCGACGGCGTTGTTGGCCACTCAGGTGGAGAAACAGCCGCTGCCTACGCCTGCGGTGCTCTCACAGCCAAAGAGGCCATCACTGTGGCTTACTACAGAGGCATTGCCTGCCAGAACGCTCCGTCGGGTGCCATGTTGGCCACAAGGAGCGCACCCAACGCTAAGGAGCTGCAAGATGCATTGGAGCGAAATGATGTACAGATCGCTTGCTTCAACGGGCCTCAGAACCTTACGCTCGCTGGATCTGCTGAGGGAGTCAAGAACGTGGCTGCTGAGCTCAGCACTCATGGCATTGTCTCTAGAGCTGTCGCAGTGACTCGAGCTTATCACACTCGCGCCATGAAGACTGTTGTGGATGAGTACGTTGGTCAGCTCAAGGGTGTCATTCAGCCCAAGACCGGGCGAGTACCTATGTACTCATCTGTTACTGGTCTTGAGCTCAAGGGTACCGAGGTTGACGCTGACTATTGGGGAGCTAACCTCGTCTCCCCGGTTCTTTACACCGATGCAGTCACCCTGGCTTTGACCTCATCAAACCTGAAGTTCGATCTTTGCATTGAACTCGGACCTCACTCTCTGCTCTCTCGCCCAACATCTGAGATTGTCAAATCCCTTCCTGACTCTCCTCAACTTCCCTTCTTTGCCACGATGCTCCGAAACGCAGACTCAAGCCAACAGCTGATGAACCTCGCTGGAGACTTGGTTCTCAATGGAAAGCAGCTGGACTTGGATCAAGTTAACAAGATCGTGGGCAAGGTTGGACGTCTTCCCAATCACATTCAAGACAACCTTCCGGCTTATGCCTGGGACTATTCCTCGACGCCATGGACCGAGCCGCGAAACAGTCAGGAATGGCGGTTTAGGAAATCGCCGCGACATGAGATTCTGGGATCTCGCTGTAGAGGAGTGAACCCTTCGGCTCCGACGTGGAGGAATAAAGTGTCGATTGAAGATGCGCCTTGGCTTGTTGATCATCAGGTACTTGACGATTATGAATTCACATCAAGCAAAGCTAACAGGTTACAGGTCAACGGTATTGTAACATTCTCTTTTACTACCGGCATTGCGATGGTGATCGAGGCCATGATGCAGGTACAGGAGGAGAATAAGGAGATTGACTGGGCGAACCATTCGTTCGAGCTTCAAGACTTTGTCTTTTCCAACTCCATCATTCTCCCTGACGAGTCGCACATCGATCTCTTCCTCACACTCATCCCAGACAACGACAATGCCAAGTCAGAGGAGACGTGGTATAACTTTACCATCTCTTCGCTGAGGGGCGATGTCGATATTCGTCATTGTCACGGTAGAGCTGCAGTCCTTGAAAGTAAGTGTCCCATGTCAACCAGATGGTGATTCAAGCTAATACTCTTCCAGCGAGCAAAGATAATGTCGCTCTCCGGCGCAGAACCTCGTGGCACCACATGCCCCTCAAGGTCCCACTGAAGAGCTACTACAAGACTCTTGAGCGCGTTGGCTATGGCTACGGTCCCAAGTTCCAGCTTCTCACTGAAGTTCGCGTCCGCCCTAGTCTCTCAGCTTGCTCTGCCAAGATCGACATGACATCGACTGCTCAATCTCCTGTTCCAGGCCAGCGATATCTTCTGCACCCAGCTATGATGGACGCTGCGCTCCAAACACCTGCCTTGGCCAATCGCTCTGGATTCTTCCAAGAGATTGATACCTTACTTCTTCCTTCCAAAATGAAGAGGATCTCCATCCGCATGCCTGCTAAGAACACGGACGTCGCGTCTTGTACTACCAACACATCGCCTGTTGGTTTTAGCAGGATCCAAGGTGGTGTCGAGTGTTACGATTCTTTATCGAGACCTTTCTTTGTGGTGGAAGGCCTACAAATGGACAGGGCGACAAGTGATGACAACACTACTCTTCCCTGGTTGAGGCTCACCTGGAAGCCTGACATTGGCGACATCTCGAGTAGTGACCCCATGCTCAGCTCCATCAAGATCCAGAGCCTTCCTGCAGAGAAGAAGCTCGTCAACCTTGAGAACCTCGTCAAAGAGCTAATCCCACTCATCGTTGAGAACGGCATCGAAAAGGGCAAGGACTTGGCTCCTCATCTACTCAGCTACCATTCGTGGTTCCTCGACCAAGCTGAACTTCACAAAGACCGTCTAGCAGCCCGCCACAAGCAACAGAACGGTTTCGCAACAGTCCAAGACGCCATCATGAACATCGTCGCCAACTCCGGCATCTCCCAAACTGTCGATGCATCCATCGTATCCCAACTCGCCATCAACATGTCTAGAATCTTCCGAGGCGACGTCGAAGCCCTCGCAGTCTGGCTTGAGAACGATCTTCTCTACCGCTTCTACGAGGAGAGTATCTTCACCACCAGCATGAACCAGAAACTTCTCTCTGTCGCTGAGCTTTTGGCGCACAAGAATCCCAACATGAAGATCCTGGAGATTGGTGCTGGAACTGGCGGTGCGACTACAGAGTTGCTGCGTGGGTTCTCTAAGGCGGGAGGGAAGAATGCGTATCAGTCTTTTACGTTTACTGATATCTCGGCTGGCTTCTTTGATAAAGCGAAGAAGAAGTTTGCGCAGTGGGATAGAATTGAGTTTAAGACTCTGGATGTTGAGAAGGATATTGCTGAGCAAGGGTTTACTGAGAAGTACGATCTTGTTGTTGCAGCCAACGTAAGTCTTGGATGTTGTGAAGGTTCCTTCAAATACTAACCGCAGCTCGCTAGGTTCTCCACGCTACTGCCGATCTGCCGTTCGCGATGAAGAATATCCGATCTCTATTGCGCGACGATGGATACCTCTTGGTCGGTGAGCTTTCGGAGGGTATGTAACATTACTCATGTCACTGGAGGTTTGGCTAACATTGATGCTTGCAGATCTGACTTCAGCAAACTTTCTTTGGGTAAGATCTCACATCCCATGTTCCAGACCTCAACGCTAACTCTCACGTAGGGACCTTTAACTGGCTGGTGGCTCCGCCCAAGATCACCCGGCCGCTCTGGCCCCGGGCTCACTCTCGACGAATGGCGCAACGAACTCGCCGCCGACTTTGACAGCGTCTCTGAGATCGAGGCCAAGCATGACAAGACCGACACTGAGCAACTCTCAAGCACCATCGTTATGATGGCTAGAGCCAAGCCCGTTGATTATACTCCACCCAAGTCGCTTTCTGAGGAGAAGGTGCACATCGCTGGAGTCGACAGCGATCTGTCCACTCGAGACCACCTTCAGAAATATCTCGGTACGCGTGGTATTTCTGCAAGCTCTAGTACCCTTGAAGACCTTGCATCGCGCGAATGGGCTGGAGAATGGCTGATCCTCGTTGATGAGACTGAAGGAAGTTTTCTCGCCTCTCTTCAGCCAGAGCAACTGACCGCACTCAAGACATGGTTTACCAAGCCTATCAAGTGCATCTGGGTCACTCGAAAGGTGTACCTCGATCCCCAGAACACGACAGGAGGTCTAGTGACAGGTTTCGCACGAACTCTCCGCGGTGAAAATAGCCAATGCCAGCTGTACACTCTCGACTTAAGCAGCGATGGCGATATCACAGCCAACGTCATCTACCACGTCTTGGAGCGGGCGCATTACTCGCATGATGACCCGATCTCTAGATTGGACTACGAGATCGCTGAGAAAGACGGTCAGCTCTGGACGTGCAGGCTTGTCAATGATACTCCTCTTGAGAATGCTTATGGTCCTGCTCGTAAGATGGATGCTTCTTCGATGCAGCTGATGAAGGCTCCTCATCGTTTGGTCATGGGAGAGGTTGGTATCTTGGAGAGTCTGACCATGGCGCAAGATGACGCGTGTACCGCCATTCCGGATGGGCATGTTCTTGTCGATGTCAAAGCTGTGGGACTTGACGACCGGGTAAGTACATCTCCCCTCTTCGATATCAGTCAATCTAACAGTGCGACAGGATGGATTCATCGCCCAAGGGTCTCTTCCAGCGACATCATTCGGTCGCGAATGTTCCGGTGTCGTTACAAGATGTGGCGCGAATGTCTCATCATTCAGCCCTGGAGATCGCGTTGCAGTCATCGGCCAAGGCACTTTCGCAACGCAGTACTTGGCACCTTCAGACTGTTGTAGTAAGATACCAGACTGGCTTTCATTCGAGGTAAGAAGGACCCTGTTCTTACAGTGGTTGAGTGTGGCTAATCTTGATGTAGGACGCGGCTGCGATTCCTACAAACTTCGTCACTGCCTTGTACGCTCTAACAACACCAGCACGAGTATCAACAGGACAGGTATATATCACATCTGCCTCACTACCAGAAAATACTAATTCAGCGATAGAAAATACTCATCGTCAACGCATCCTCCACCCAAGGCATCGCCCTCATCAAGACCGCAACAGCCCTCAAGCTCGACGTCTACGCAGCCATCAGCGACGCAACCACCAAGCCCATCCTCACCAGACTCGGCCTTCATTCCGCCAAGATCTTCGTGAACCCCACCAACACCAGCCGCTCCAGCGTCTCTCGTTCTACGACCTTCCAAGCATACAAGCTCGTGTTGAACACCAAGTCCGGTCAATATGCAGACTTTGCTCACCTGGTTGCGAATCGTGGAACATATATTGAGCTTACATCGGGTGAGAGTTCTGGCGATGCGGAACATGTTGTGCCGAATAAAAATGTCATGTTTGCTTCTATCGATTTGGCGGACGCTTATCAAGAGAGCAAGCAGGATCTTGGAGAGTAGGTAGTTCTGTCTCCTTGCGCATCCCTCAGCTGACGTTTTTTCTAGGTTGCTGGGCCAAGTCATCGACATCATTGAGAAGCGAGAGGTCGATGTTGACTCTTCGGTCTCGGTGAATGGACTTGACTCTCTTCAGTCGTCCTTTGCGGCACTGATAGAAGGTAATTCGAGCAAACAGGTTGTATCGCTGGCCAATGTCGACGACCAAAAATTGATCAAGGTAAGTGTTTCACTCTCAGCTACAAGACTTATCTTTATCTAACCATGATCTAGACACGACCCAAGACATCTCGCTTCAACCCCGACAAGACGTACATCATCACAGGTGGTCTTGGTGGTCTCGGCCGCGCCATTTCCGTGTGGATGGCTAGCTATGGCGCTCGACACATCATTCTGGCCACCAGCTCTATTACTCGTGCCTCAGAGTCTGGTGATCTTCTACAACAGCTATCATCATATGGATGCAATGCCAGAGTTGAAGTCTGCGATGTCGGTGACTCCGAAGCCGTTGAGCGTCTCGTTGCTTCCATCGATACACCTGTCGGTGGAGTCATTCACTCTGCATTGAAGCTCAGCGTAAGTCTCCTTATAATCACTATTGGTTTCATGTGTCTAATTTTAGCCAGGACTGCTTCTTTGAGGATATCACTCTCGAGGACTTTGATGCCGTTTTTGGACCCAAGGTCAATGGCTCATTGAACCTCCACAACAGCCTTCTCAACCAAGACCTCGACTTCTTTGTCATGCTCAGTTCAGGCTGTGGTATCCTCGGTAACGAGGGCCAGTCGAACTACGCCGCAAGTAGTACTTTCCTGGACACCTTTGCCCGATACCGTCAAAGTCTTGGACTTCCCGCCTCGTCTGTTGATCTCGGGTTCGTTGAGGACGTCGGCAACATCAGCGAGCGTCCTGAGATCCAAGCTTCCCTCTTATCTCGCGGTCTCAGACCTATCACCGTCAGAGATGTTCTCCGTGTCGTCGAGGGTGCCATCGCAACAGGGTCACCCAAGAACCTCATCACAGACTCTACTTATGACAGCTTCGTCCAGAGCCAGATTGTTCTCAGCTTCGGCATGATCGACAAAGCCACAGCCGAGTACCAATCCTGGGCTCAAGATGCAAAGTTCGGGCTCTTGCGATCTCGTGCCGCTGACAACGCTGCTCTTGACTCTGATGCTGATAGCGGAGAGAGCGCTGTCCAAACAGCTGTCAAGGCCTTCCGAAACACTCTCGGTCGATTGGGCGATGCGCCTGAAGGTAAAGAGGCAGCTTTGCAGCCGTTTGTTTGCACTGCTCTTGTTGCCAAGCTGGCGCAAGTACTGTCTATCAAGGTTGGCGATATCCAGCCTTCGAGATCGGCTATTCAGTATGGAATGGACTCGCTTATTGCGATTGAGGTTCGATCTTGGGCGCGATATGCGTTCCAAATTGATCTGCCTATTAATGATTTGACGAACCCGTATAGTATTCAGGATTTGTCGGCTAGGGTTTCTAGAATGATTGCCGGATGATATGATAATTCTCTTTGTGTTTGGGTATACCACAGATTGGGGTGGCTCTTGTCTTTTCTTGTTTCCCTGTTTGCAGCTCCTATGTGCATTCTCTTTTGTTGTAGCTTCACGATATTTATGGCTCGTCAGTTAAATACACTCTTTGCTTCTGGTCATCATATCCTTTCCGCGTTGCTGTATTTATCTGTGTATATACCCTTTTAAGATATCTCTCCCTCCTCATAATCACGCCTGAGACAAACCCTCGCAGCCAGCGAGCCAAAGACAATGCTGTACAACACCAAAATATGCAATTCAGTCCCATCAAAGGGTCTAGTCTAAAGACTTAATATTCCGTAGCCCATCACGACATCTAGCCCTATCGCGGCATCGAGGATTCTGACATGGAAGTCGAAACTGACGCTGAGACTGAAGCTGGCGCGGAATTCGATGGCGTTGATGATCCAGGTGCCGGCTTTTGGGCACAGAACGTTATTCTGTATCGTTGGTCAGCTCCAAATCATCCAAGATATAACGAGTTTGGTACTCACAATGTCATAAATGAATGGTACTTTGTATTCCCAATCTCCTTCTTCACCTCCACCAGAAACTTCTTGACCTCATCCGGCGGCCAACCCAAGCCCTGTGTAAAAACGGGCATGGTCAATGGTTCAAGAATGAACAGCCAATTCTGTGTCATAAGATGTCCTATACGCTGTAGCTTCTTCCCAGGATAGCACGCATTCGTCGGCGCTCCGTGCCTCGTCTCAATGATGCGCCCAAAGCCAGCTTCTTGTAACAACGGTTTGAACTTTTCCGGATATTTCAGCGTTGTACCAAAATTCTGCATCCCTTGCTCCATTAAATCGTTCCACCTTCGGAATGCTGTGCCCTTCAATGAGTGGTTCGGTGATTGTAGGATCGCGATCCATTCTGTGAATTCGACCCATCCTCCTGGCCTCAGGTTATCAAACGCCGATTGGATCAACTTCTTCTTGTCTCCAATGTCGCCTAATTGTCGAACGTGAATAAAATCGAAGTTGCCGCCATTGAAAATATCCCAGTCGTGCGTAATGTCGAATGTTTTGAAGCTGCAGTTGGATTTTGTATATGGTGGATGGACTGGTTCAATGTCGACGCCTAACACAGAACAGGAAGGGTATTTGGTGGCTGCCAAATGTTAGCGTCAGTAACAGAGAGGCCATGAAGCCTTAGGCATACCAAATTCCTATAGCATCAATGTCAGCAAATTTCCACGCCATGAGATTCCTTCAGAACGTACTAATGCCCATGTTCCAGGTCCAGTGCCCACATCAAGCACTCGCTTTGGTTTCGAGGTTATCGGCGATAAGTGAAGTCCCTTGAAGATATTGATGATAACAGTATGTTGAATGACTAAGCGCAATCTTATCAGTACATCCGCGGGTCAAAGAGTACCGAGGTCATCGCATCATACCATTTCTGTCTTGTTCTTGCTAAGCCAAAAGCGTATTAGCATCCGAGTACCGTACCCGTATCGTTATCACAGCGTGTGATTGCAACATACCTGGCTATTCGGCACCAAACCGTACCCTGTTCGTCGTCGTATGGTTAATTCTCGGATGCTACTGCAGAGCAGGGGAGGGGGGAAACGAACGAACAGAGGATTTGGTGAATTTGGCGACGAATGCTTGGAAGAACCGTTTGGACCGCGACCCACTGAGACACATTAGCAACGGAGCAAACAATGGAGCCAAGCCACCAATCAGTGAATCACCCTCTGATCTGTGAAGAACTTACCGTTCCATGGGCTTGTAACTGGCAACAAACTCATCCGAGGAATCAGAAGAGTCCTCTATACTGTTGGTCTTAACGACATGGTCTTCCCTTGCCGCCGCCGCCGGGGAGAGCGTTTGCCGGTCCCATCCGCCTGAGCGTCGGGTAACAGGTGTCCCGGGGAGGCCCCCTGTCTGCATCTGGCTGTCACTAGACACGCTAGAGGCGTAGTTGGACGACGATGAGGCGGTGAGAGTCGTCTGTGCAGGGGGCCTTGCCATGGCTGATGACTGTAGAAATTCCGTGGACCCCCCGCCAGCACCAGCGCCGCCGCCGCTGCGAGTCGAGCTCGAGTCGCGTTCATTGTTGTCCATCGAGTGAGCCATTTTCGTTGCTAATAAACACGGCGGGCCGCGCCGAAGCCTAACAGCTTGGGGGGGGTTTTTGCTCGTCGGTTCGTCTCCCTTTTTTTTTCTTTGCTAAATTATTTTAGTTTGACAGATGGTGTCGATTTGAGGGAGAAGGTAGCAAAAATAAAAATAACTTTCGTCGGTAGTCAAACCTGCCTGCTTGCTTGCTGCAAGAAAGACATGCAGTCCTGACGTCGTCGGGTTCAGATTGGCACAGCAGAGCCAACAGCAGCACACAAGACACGGGACGCAGAACCTGCGCGGGATGGGGTCATGCTACTCTTCTATGTAGAAAAAGAGAGAAGGAAAAAATTGTTCCCCGACGTTGGCTGCGTTGGGTACCGAGGCGGGCTGAGAGCACCCTTGTTTGTTTGTGTCGCCCTCTAACAGATCATCAGAGTGCTAGCCCTGTCAAGTTTAGCTCAGTGTCCTCAACTGACGAACGGCTTGTTAGCTCTGGCCCGCACTTTAGAGTTTATCACATTGTGCGTAGCATTAGTTTCGAATCCGTCACATAATAAGTGACTGGGTATTAATAGGCGTTGTTTTCTCGCATGTTTGCTCTTTGGTTTCGGGTGCAAAGAAAATACCGAGATCGCGAGTATGAAAATTGACTGATCTTCAGTCGGTTCTTCTTCAGCCACCGATGTCTATGGATAATTGCGAATACAACAATATTTACGAGAGATCAACGACTTATAAGGAGATTTTTATGGTATTTGTTGCTCCGTGTCCTTGGCGCTTTATGCTGTTTGCCCCAATGCAATTGTTTGTTGGCGGTCGTGTTGTCGCGTGACCCGACCCATATCTGGTTCCAGCAGCAAACGAGACTTACATAAGCCTCTCCCTCTCATATGGGCACGCTACCCTCTTCTGTTTATTGGTGCACGCAATGATTTATGCCTTTTCGTTCATTTCAGTGCCATCGTGGTGGAGCTTATCGTAGAGTTCTTTTGTCTCTTGTTGGTGTTTTCAATATATTGAACCTCCATAGCTACCCTGAGCCCA